GTTGTTAAATACACGCGTAAATGAAGGTATTTACTTAATTTATTTTTAATATTTTTTTTTTTTTAATATTTTTAATATTTTTTACCATAGCAATAAAATGTATGATCAAGATTTCATCAGAATAGTGACTTTTGCTTTTCCCTTAAAGTTTTAAAGTTTTGCTCATTATTTAACTTTAAAGTCTTTATACAATAGTGAACTTTTTTAAAAAGTTATCAGAAATGCTAAACTAGATCAATTTGTGATTAAATACTTATTTTTAACAAACATCAGTGTTTGTGACCAAAACCAATAATAACAAAAAAAAAACATTTAAAAAAATTGTATAACTTGGTTACAATTAGTTACCAATATATTTATATATGTATATAAATATATATATATATATATATATATATATATATATATATATATATTTATTTATAAATATATATGTATATATATATATATTTATTTATAAATATATATATACATATATATATAAATATATATATATATATATATATATATATTTATATATATAAATATATATATGTATATATATATATATATATATATATATATATATATATAAATATATATATATATACATATACATATACATATATATATATATATATACATATATATATATATATATATATATATATATATATATATATATATATATATATATATATATATATATATATATATATATATATATATATGTATGTATATGCAATTACCTTCAGTATGCCTTTGTTTACTTGTGTTGATTTTTATGCATTATTGGCACATGTATGTATTTGTCACTTTTCAATAAATTTTTCTTTTCGGGAGAAAACCTGAATTACTAAAGTATAACTTTAAAAAGACCAGATGAAACAGCTTTTATTTTTAACTAGAGTGTTTTTATAAATTTAAAAATTCCATTCAAGAAGCCCTGATTGATCTAAATTCAGCTAATAACTTTACGGAGTCTGAATTAGAATTGATATTATCAACAGTTTTTATGTTGCTACCAGTGAAATTGGCTGTAAAGGTTTTATTTCGGTGAGATGCTAATCTTCTATCAGCTGATACTACCATGGCATTTATGCTGCAAAACATGATACGAAAAGAATTTTCTATATTTGAGAAAGACGGTACATTTGGTACCAACTTAACGTTGGTATACGATTTCATTTTAACTATTATCTCAACTAGCGCAGAATCTATCGGGCTTTCACTTCATCAGGAATGTTATTTACGAAGATTCGATCATTCTTAAATTACAAAACTTTATATAGTATATGTTTTTTGCGGGCCTGTTACAGCAATTAATGTTTTGTGTGCTATTTCGTTTGTTTGTTTTTTTCAAACTAATTAACTTTATACATTATTTTAACTTAAACAATAAATTTTTGGATCCGTTTGTTTTTTCTTAGCCGTTTTAAATAATGTTTATTTGAGTATTTGTAAATACCAGTATTAATACCGGTATATCAGTTTTCACTAAATCTAATACCAAAAAACCGGTATTTAGTTTTTGGTCAGGTATTGGAAGCCCTAGGTATAATAAACTAAATAAAATATATACTAAAAAAGGTTTACACTCATCCCTAGGGTTAACACCATACACCACAGTTTTTGCATAAAATAAAACTTTTTTAACTTTTTATTTAAATTTTTTTACAATTATATTCAATTCATTTAACACTATTTTATAAGCTTTTAGTTATATGTTGTACAATTGTTATAATTTTAATCAATACTACTTTGCTACAATAAAATTTTTGATATTTTTGAACAATTAGTACAAGTTGCAGTAAGTTTTAATAAACTTTTATTAAATTTAACCTCATATTTGTAATATATTTTTTAGAATAAATGAAATTATTTTATTCCTTACTAATTAAAAGTAGCATATAATTAGTAAAATGCAAGTCATATAACGCGAGTCAAGGTGCTAAACTTCAAACAGCAATGATATCTACAAAAAGAGATGTAGTAAAATATTGCTCTTATGTGTGCGGAAATGAAGGTGCTAAAGGATGAAGGATCAAGTATAAACTTTTAGAAATTGAAATTATATGTGGTAAATTGAGTTTTCCAATAAATCGAAAGAGAAGGAATTTTCTCAAAAGTTCGTACATTAAAGGAAAAAGCATCCAATTTAAAAAAAAATTCTTGACTTACAAGAAATGATAACTTTTATGCCAAGTTGAAAGCTTTGACAAAATGTTAGATATATGTTTGCGCAAATGTTTCTATAGGAGTAGAAAAAGAGAGATACATATGTACTTTTAAAGTGCTAATTAAAGAATGGGATGCGTTTGTTGGACAAAAGCTGCTCAAAAAATTAACTTGGATTACTTGATCATACTAACACATCTACTTTAAAAAAAAACTGAAACACAAAAAAATAAGTTTATAACAATTTCATAGCAGTTTAATACACATAAAAATGAAGATAAATAGATGGATCTTATTGCTGATGATGATTTGTATAAATCTGAAGAAAATATCAAATTAGATGTATCTAATAATGAAAATGAAAACTTCATAAATCTGATAATTTTTAACACAAATGTAATTAAAATTGGATTTTTTACAATGAACTGGCTGTTGTGGAGGATTTTAATTGTTTCAGTTGCAACGCAACTGCTGCAATTGTAAATGCTGTTCTAAAATACACGGGGATACTAAATCAATCAAATATGCTTGATAGAAAAAAGGTAGAACGAAAAAGACTTTGTATTGGAGAATAAAATGTGATTGGGAGATAATGTGAAAATTTGAAACTACAATGCATTAGTTTTGATAAAGGAAAAGGGCAATACAATAACAGGTGCAGAAACAGTTAAAGAAGAACATATTATGATAGTTAGAGAACCAACTAGCAGCTATATAGGTTATTTAAAATCTTATAATGAAACTTCTTGCTGCATTGCTGATGATATTATTAATATAATATTTTAAAATGGCTGTGCGGGTTCTTTAAATGCTATCTTATGTGATGCAACTGTAGTAAACTTTGGTAAGTTTAGAGGAGTGATAAAACTAATAAAAACACAACATGATAGACCAATCCAGTGACTCATTTTTCAACTCTTTTTAAATGAACTTTCCTTTTATCATGGATGGAGTTAATGGATGGAAAAAACTTGTGTCTCAGCATCTTTTTAAAGAGATATTGGTAAAAAAATAACCAAAGACTTAACTAATTTAGTAGTGTTTTCCATTCAAAAAATAAAAAGTTCTTTTTATATACTTGCTATTAACATACTCAGTACATTAAGCTCAGATCAAAAATATTTATACAGTATCTGTTTAATTATTAAATCAGGAAAGGTTTCAAATAAAATATTTAACTGTTCTCCAGGAAACAATTATCATGCTTGGCGGCTCACAAAAGCAAATGGTGTTTTACGTTTATATATTTCTAAAGTAATGCTGACCAAAAGAACTTGTTGACTTGGTTACAATTGAATGCCTTTTCAATGAAAATAATTTAAAAGCCGATGACACTCCATTAAGTATACCAAAATATCCTAGTTATAAAGAAAATATAAAAAGAATTGTTGGAATAGCCACAAAGGCATTAGAAATTGATATGGCTATGAAAAGCGTTACATATTTGTAGGAAAAAATTACAGAACCTAAAAAAAAAAAGCCTAGTTTGATTGGAAAACACAATAGAAATAAAATATTTAAATAAAGATATAAAAAAAAGTAGTAATACACATTTTTTTATAACATCAAAACTTTATTTTTACTCTATTTTTTATTTTTATGTTGGCTCTTATCTTAAAAATTAAATCATTTTGGTGCTCCTCTTAAAGAAAGCGTTTTTAAAGTTATGTTCCGGTTTTTAAAAAAGTATATTATTAGAATACTTATATTGTAAAACTAAAGTACAAAAAATAAATGTTACAAAACCCAACTAAAAAATTATAGCCAGCTGCTGCGAGGAAATGCCAATCTATCGACTGAGGATTTAGATAAGAGAGACAGTCTTTCAAACAACAAAAAAAACTTTTTTAATTTTCCCGGTCTTTATAATAACTTTTTTCATTAAAAAAAAAATAAAGTAGACGTAGCAATGGTAAAATTAAAGTATACCAAACAAGAGTGCATATATATAAATACATATATATATATATATATATATATATATATATATATATATATATATATATATATATATATATATATATATATATATATATATATATATAAATATATATATATATATATATATATATATATATATATATATATATATATATATATATATATATACATATATATATATATATATATATATATATATATATATATATATATATATATATATATACATATATATATATATATACACATATATATATATATATATATATATATATATATATATATATATATATATATATATATAAATATGTATATATATATACATTTATATATATATACATATATATATATATATATATATATATTTATATATATATATATATATATATATATATATATATATATATATATATATATATATATATATATATATATATATACATATATATATATATACACATATATATATATATATATATATATATATATATATATATATATATATATATATATATATATATATAAATATGTATATATATATATACATTTATATATATATACATATATATATATATATATATATATATTTATATATATATATATATATATATATATATATATATATATATATATATATTTATATATATATATATATAAATAAATAAAAGGTTAGATGAGAAAAAACAACTTTTTTACGGTACTTAAAGTTTCATGCCGTTTTCAGCACTCATCAGCCATATATTTTAATATATGGTGATGATAAGTCATATCAACAATGCAATTAACTTATTAACAATGCAATTACAAAAAATATTTTGTAATTGCATTGTTAATAAGTTATTGCTTATCAATTAATAATTAAGAATAAGTGAAAAAATGAACTTGAACAAAAGATTTTTAACCTTCCAATACATGACACACTCATTGCTAGTCCAGTAAAAGTTCCTTGCAATTCTGGTAGTACAGAGTTTGAAACAAATATATTTACTGTAATAAAGCAACCACTAATAAAAATGTTAATAGCTCCTAGACATGTCACCAAAGAGAACCAACGAATTCCACTAAAAAAATATTATTTTATAAACAGACAAATATTTATTAAGTAACCTTGGGCGCCAAACAACATCTTTTTTTATTTATTTATTTTTTTTATCTATTTGCGCGACCCATCTGAATTTTATAAAAATTGGATAATTCGCAAATTTTATTTACTATATGTGCTTGCAGATCAATTTTATAAAATTATTTACAATACTTTTTTAATTGAACTTTGTATTAAAAGCAAAGTTAAACAAAACTGCAGCATTTTGATTTCCTAAACATTAAAATAATGATAAAAACTATATTAGCATATTTTCTTTACCAAAATTATGAAAATGACCCCACTCTACGTTTATTTAATGCTTTTACATCCCATATTGATTATATACCGCTTGTTTGGCACCCAAAAGTATATAATTTATATATACTTAAAGAAAAAATTGTTGTTACTTGTTTGTTATTAAGACTAGAGCCGGGACAAATGAGTAAATACACCCACATCCAATGATCCAATATATAAATGCCTAGATCCAATAATAACATTTTGAAATATCCATTTTTTTTCTTCATCTTTATTTCTTTCAAAAATTTATATAAATAAATACAAACAAATGAAAAAAACAAAAAAACAAAAAAAAAAGCAATAACAATGAAAAAAAAAAATCTGTTGTTAGTATTTGGTTGTTTTTTTACACAAAAAAATAAAATTACCTCATATATATATAGGTTTTATGTGGTAATTTATTTTTGAACCCAAAAAATTTTTTTTCTTTTTCTGTAATAAAATTTGTGAATCATAACTTTGACAAAAGTTATTTTTAAATTTTGTTATAAATTATCTGTACAAAGATCTGTTTCATTTCATCCAAAAAACTAATTACCCAATGATTAGCTTAATCGATTAGTCAGTTCATATATTCTGAAAAAGTTGTCACATTCATGGAAGTTTACAAATAGTGCATGTACTAATCTCAAGTAAAAAGCATTGCAAATAAAAGCTAATAAATATATTGTTAATGGTAACAGTAATATTATTCGTCCACAGAAGTAACAAGACGAACATTAAAAGATGAAGGAGTAAAAATAATAATAATGATAATAACAAAAATTGTAGTTATAACAGGAATAATAATAAAATTATAAAAGTAAAATGGTAATAATAAAAATAAAATGACAGAAATAAAAATAATTACAATATTCATAAAAAAAAAAATTGTAATTTAGTATTAGTCACATACATACACAAACATATACACACATACAAACACACATACACACTGAGGTTCACAAATAAAAAACATAATATAATATAAACACATATACATATAAGCACATATACTTATATCCCCCTGTATTTAATATTGATATGTATACATGAATTGTATACAAACATAATATACACACACATATATGTAGATTCATATATACCATCCACAATCATACACACGAACATAATCATACCTACATAAACGCATAATTACATACACATATACTAACATAAATACATATACACATTTAACAATAATTTATATGTCAATTATATACGTATATATAATATACCCCTACATATATATATATATATATATATATAATATATATATATATATATATATATATATATATATATATATATATATATATATATATATATACATATATATATATATATATATATATATATATATATATATATATATATATATATGTATATATATATATATATATATATATATATATATATATATATATATATATATATACATATATATATATATATATATATATATATATATATATATATTATATATGTATATATATATATATATATATATATATATATATATATATATATATATATATATGTATATATATATATATATATATGTATATATATATATATATACTATATATATACATATATATATATATATATATATATATATATATATATATATATATATATATATATATATATATATAATATATATATATATGTATTTATATATATATATATATATATATATATATATATATATATATATATATATTTACATACATACTATAGCATATTTATATGCGCAATTGCTCACTGTTTTTGCTAGTCTAAATTAAGTGAGCGTTTTGAAAAAACAATGATGGAAAACGAAGAATAATGAATGAAAAGGTTGCTGACCCATACCAAACCCTCAGTCGATCTAGCACAGGGTTGCCACCAAATCAGGGAAATCAGGGAAATTCAGGGAAATTTAAATACAATCAGGGAAAATCAGGGAGAAATGATTGATTTAGAAAAAAATCAGGGAAAATCAGGGAACTTTTTAATTTTTCTTTAATGTTTTGAAATAATTTCTAATAAAAATTTTCCTTTCCCAGGGTACCAGGGTTAATGTTAAATATTTTTAAAGAAAATTAATCACATTGTGTATTCATTTGCTCTTTTTTTAGAATAGTACAAATTTTTAACATTTAAAATGACAACATATTTCAAAGAAGAATGGTTAAGTGATCCTTTGTTTGAAAAATGGCTGGTAATAGGCAGCGATAAAAAGTCAGCCAAGTGCAAAATATGCCAAGTTGAGTTTAATTTGTCAAATATGGGAAGAAGAGCTGTGATAAGTCACATGGATGGCAAAAAACATGCACAGAAGCCAAAGCCAGTATCTTGCTTCTTCATGCCTGCACCGTCTACATCTAAAAAGCAAGCAATTCTTACAGTAGATCAATATGATAAATGTTGTGCAGAAATCTATTCTGTTTTAAATGCAGTACAGAATAATTTCTCATTGAACTCATGTAATGAAAATGGCCTACTTTATCAGAAAATGTTCCCTGACAGCAATACTGCTAAATCTTATGAAATGGGTAGAACAAAACTTGGTTATATAATTAATTTTGGTCTTGGACCTTATTTTCACAGACTTTTAACTGAAAATATAAAAAAATCTCCTTATTATACTGTTTCATTTGATGAAAGCCTTAACGATTCTTTCCAAAATTGTCAAATGGATCTAAATATTCGGTTTTGGAACAGCGATCTAAATCATGTTGAATCCAGATACTTTGACTCTAAATTTTTAGGTCACCCCGCAGCAAAAAATTTGCTTGAAAGTATTACTAAATCTTTGTCAATGAATAATAGCATAAATCTGACTCAACTAAGTATGGATGGTCCAAATGTGAATTGGTCCCTTCTTAATCTTCTTGAAAAGCAGCGTGATCAACAAGAGCTTCCTAAACTTATTAACGTTGGTAGTTGTAATCTTCATGTAATACATGGGGCTTTCAAATCGGGTTTTCAATCTGTTGAATGGAATATGGGGAAGTTAATGAAAGCATCACACAACCTTTTTCATGATTCTCCGGCTAGAAGAGCTGATTTTCTAACTGTTACTGAATGTGAGAGTTTTCCTTATGCATTTTGCTCAACACGCTGGGTTGAAGACCAAAAAGTTGCAAATAGACTTTGTTTAATTTGGGAGAATGTTAAAAAAATAACCAAGTATTGGGAGACTCTTCCTAAAAGTAAGCAACCAAAATCCAAGAGCTATGACACTGTGTTAGGAGGAACAAAAGATGAGTTAACTTTAACTAAATTGAAGTTTTTTAGTTACATTGCAAGTTTGTTACAGAAAATCTTATTGAGATATCAAACCGATTCCCCAATGATTTCCTTTCTTTTTGAAGATTTGTTCTTAACTGTTAAAAACTTAATGGGTTTAATTATAAAACAAGATGTCCTTAGCAGCATCGTGAATGGCAGGCAACTTCAAAAATTTGATTTTACTGAAAAGGAAAACTTTCTGCCATTAAAATTAATGACAATTGGGTTTGCTGCTGAACGTGACATTATGGAATTGAGGAAAAAGGATGCGTTATCTCATGATGTCATCAACAGATTCATGAAAGATTGCCGTCTCATTATCATTAGAATCCTGGAAAAAATATTTGAAAGAAGTTTGAATCGATTTTCTTTTCTGGAAGCAACTGGTTGCATCAGTCCAGTGTCAATTCTTTCTAAAAAAAAAGCTGATCTTCTTCATCAGATGAAATCTGTACTACATCTTATTCTTTCTTGTTCACATATTACTTCAAATGAATGTGATCAAGCTTTCATACAATTTTCAAAGTTGTTAGAGGAAAGTTCAATCTACTCTTTTACCCGCATTTAAAAATTTTCACTCTGGAAATCGTTTAGACAAATTTTATTTTGAAACCATTAAAGTTGGTGTAGATTACAAGACTTTGTCAAAAGTTTTGATATATATTTTTACGTTATGTCATGGGCAAGCATCAATTGAGAGAGGTTTCAGTATTAACAGTAATATGCTCAGTGAAAATATGAAAGAAAAGTCACTTATATCTCGTCGCACTATCAAGGATTTTATGGTGTCAAACAAATTAAAGGCTCATGAAATAGAAATAAACAATGAAATGATTAAGGCTATTCGTAGTGCCTCGTTACAATATAAAAATTATTTGGAGGAAAATAGAAAACTCCAAGCAAAAGAAAAAGAAAATAGCGTGATAATGCTTTTAGATCAGGAAATATTTGAACTTAAGGAAAAGCAAAAAGTATTGAACGAAGTGTGTAAACATACAATGAGGAATTTATTACATTCACCAAGGAAGCTGGCAAACAGCAGGATATGTCTCAAATGAAACTTCTACTTACAAAAGGCAATGATCGTAAGCGAAAAAGTGAGGAACACGAAAAAGAAATTAAGATGCTTGAGGAGGCTTTAGTTATATTATATAAGAAAAAAAAAGAAGTCAATTACATATAATTTCTTTTTTCTAACATAAAATTGTTTAACCTTTGTTTCAAACATTTCAGTATTTAACAGTATTACTTATTTAGTTTAATTTTTTTTGTTTTTGTTAGTCTTTTTTAAATAGTTATTATAACTTGTTTGTATTTACTCTTGAATTTTTAATACATTGCTTGTTATTAAAAACATTTTCAATCTTAATTGTTACTTTTTTTTTGAATCTCATTATCTTGTACCCTAGATAAGTCTGATGGATTTTTAATGCTTGTTGAACCCGTTTTATATTATATATATATATATATATATATATATATATATATATATATATATATATATATATATATATATATATCCCTTCAGAGTTCAAGTTAACGGAATTCTACTATAAATAATTTCATGTGTTGATTGAAGTATTTAATTAGCTATTTGAATTTTTAAACAAAATTAATTGGTTTATTACTCATTGGGGGATTATAGCATCTGTTTTTTTGAAGGTAAAAATCTGGGGTTAATGGAGAAGTTTTAAGGTTAAGTGTGGGTGTTTGAATACTGGAAATATCAGGGGCAAATAAGCAAAATATAAGAAAAAAAATCAAGAACAATCAAAGATAAAAAAGCAAAATTTTCGCAAATAATCAGGGTAAATCAGGGAGAAAAAAGCAAAATTTTAGCAAAAAAATCAGGGAAAATCAGGGAATTTTGTTCTTAAATAACGGTGGCAACCCTGTAGCAGCACTCCACTGCGAGTCAGGCTATTTCAGGCTATTGTTGATGTTTTTAATAATTTAAGTCTACGAGCTTATTAAACAAAATTAAAATAATGGAAGTTATTTGAACATTTTCAGAACTAACTTTTTGTGTTTTTTAAATTTTTTTTGTAAAAGGGTTTTCTTAGTTAAGACTGAAAAAATACTAGTTTTTTATTTTTTTATTTATTGCGTTCAAAATTAAAAACTAATGCATCAGATTAATGCCAGTCAAAATTCATAATTTCCATTAATAACAAAGCGTAACAACACAATAAAAAATGCAAAAGTAATTCTGTTGTGTTCAGATATGGGACAAACTAAAAATGACTTAATAAAATCTATGATCCTAATTAAAAACATTTTTTTTCTACAACTTTGTTAAAAACAGACAAATTTTATATTATGCTTTAAATTGGAAAAAAAACTAGAAATAATTTACCTGTTTTATTTACATATCTCGATTCTTTTGTGTTATTGCTTTATTAGTAACGTTGTTTATGAATATACGGGTTTAATACGTTCCTGTAATCACATCTTTTCTTTTACATAAAGTTTTACATTTTATATTCATAAAAAAGAAATAAAAGTACTGCTTTTTTTGTTACTGATACCTTTTTATCTTATAGATAAATAATAAATTTGCATTTATTCAATAATTTTTTTTTTTTTTTTTTTTTGACTGTCTACTTTTTTTTTTTTAAATTATCTACTTGCTTGAAAATATAGCCAGCAAGTTTTTTTTTTATAAACAAATAAAAATCGTTTTTAAAACAAAAAGAAACTATAACCTACCTATAACAGGATTCTATTCAATTTAATGAAACCCTGATATATTTATTGCGTTGAACAAAAATTGAATAATTTTTATATGTATTTTGATGAGTTTAAAATGATTTTGATTTTGATGAGTATAAAAATTCGGCAGGAGCGTTAATATTTTTGAAAGTACAATTTTTTCAGCAAAACTTTATCAACAATTAATGTATTTGAAAAGGATTTTTATTTCTACGAGGCAAACAGTTAACTAAATTAATGCAAACATTATTAGAAATCCCATAAATTCTTGATTTAACTGAAAAAGTAAATATGATTCTTAAGCTTAAGGGTTAACTTTTGACGCTCGATGTGTTTCCATAATTGTTCAATAAGCTTCAAATCAGTTGGTAATGATGGTATTTCCATTTCAAAAACCAAGCTTTTCACTTCAGAATTCTTGTACCGACTTGGCTGTGTGAAAAATAAAAAAATTAAAAACTTTTTAAATTGGTATCAATGTCAGGAATAATTTTTTGGCTTAAGTGAGATATGTGTTAGAGTATTAGTAAAGTTTGATTAGATTTTCTAAATTGTTAAATCTAGTTATTAAATTGCTCTAAAAAGCCCTTACAGTTTTGTTATAGAACTCAGTTGAAATTTTTAAATTGAAAGCACACATTTATCCTTTACAACATCGCATAAATAGCCGGAGCTGGCATTTAATCACAGACCTCTCAATTTTGAAACTAGTGCTCTACCTCTTTGTGTTATCACTCACGGCTGGCTAACATGTTTTAAAAGATATATTTAAAACGATAAAATATAGAATGATAATTGAATAATAAAATAATGTTTTAACTTGACAACAAAAAAAAATGAACTTTAGAAAACTTTTTTAGAAAAAGAGTTGAAAAGAAAATTAAGAATAAATTAACAAAATAATGAATATAAAAAAAATATCATTAAATTATAATTTACACTTTGCATTGATGCAACATCTGTTCCACTCAAGCCCTCATATGGTTTTTCATTTGGGCTTATACTAATGGAATATCCTTATAGTTACACTATCGTTTGTAAAACACAA